ACGAGAGAAGTTGAGCACTCCCATCCATTCTCCTGTTGCCCGGGTGCGACGTTTGAAAGGGTGCGAAAGTTAGCTGAGAAAAAAGATCAGCTCACAAAGCCAATGTTGATGTGGACCTCAAAGGGCTACGATCTTGAATCATGACCCCTCCTACAAAACTGCCGGAATGCCCTCGCGTCGCTGGTGAACATCACCATCCGAGGCTTGTTTCGACATGTTCAGGCAGGACCAACTAATCAGAGGTGACCTCTAGACTTCCATGTTCTTCATGCAGGCGACTGAACCGAACCTCTCGGCTCCCGCTTCAGAGCGCGGGAGATCGGTGGCGTTCCGAACCGTCGGGCCGGCCTCTCGGCTGAATGGCCGGTCATACTCCCACAAGACCCGCCCCCTGCATCCGGTCGCAGGCACCAGTTGAGCAGCGGGTTCGGATAGATCCCCGTTAATAGCACTGACTTTGCCAAGTGGTAGATTATAACAGAGGACATCATAGAATCACTCAGCTTCCAGCCTGAAAAATTCCCCTTTGCTGAGATGCATTCTGAATGAACTGGAATTGGAGTTTGCTTTTGGTTCTGTTCTTCCCTGAGGTGCATCGAACGAGCCGTCGTTGCTTTTTCTCGTTGCTTTTTGGAGGAGCGGCCGATCTGTGGCGCGTCCGCCGCAGTCCGCAGCGCCCGTGCTGCACCGGGGCCGGTTGTGCGCAGTAAAAAGGTCACCTGGCTGGAAGCCCCCCGCAGCGTTAGTGCCGACTACTATGTATAATATATGCTGTTTGATGGGAGAGAGAGAGAGAGAGAGCATCGAACTTTTGTGCATGGGAGGGGCGAACGCCCAGTTTTCACAAGTTTGGTACCGTTGATGGGAGGGGCGGTGCTCACGTTCTCAGCATCTGGCTCCAGTGGCTCCTGTTGCTGCGGCCCCTCCGACTTATTTCCCACTGCGCCTGGAGGAAAGTGGGCATGGGATGACCTGAACTGGCCATGACAAGTCCAGACGAGCTCCACACTCCACCAAGGTGTCCAGTCCAGGCATCCAGACGAGTTGGAGTGTCGGTCTGTCGGTCTGTCGGTCTCTGAGACCGACGCCCGACCCGGACCGACCCCGAAGCAGGTGGAAACGCCAAGCCCGGGCCAGGCTGCGTCGTTCTTCCTTGGGTCTATCCCATCAACGAATTGTTGACCGATATATCATATATAGTTTGGGTCTATCCCATTACCTGTAACAGTGGATGATTATGGGGCCTGGTTGCAGGCCTTGTTCAAAAAGGATGATAATTGTTTACTGACTGTTACAGGTAAGTTCGGACAGACCCTATATATAGTGATAATTGTGTACCGACTGTTACAGGTTCTCAGGTATTAGGACAAACCCAATCTATTCGGTTCATGTTCCATCGTAGGGCCCAGGGTCCCCTGGCTTTGACCCACAGCCATTGTGACTCCCGGAACAATCAAAGTTAACCATTTTTCTCTATATAGTGGACAAACCTCGTCCCCCGCAAAGGTTGTTTCAGGCCAGGTCGCTGACTGGGTAGGAGTTTGAGACCAATTTTTTGGAGGTCAACTTGTAGATGATCTTGACAGGTCAACATGCATCTTGACTTACACTCCCTGAAATAATCATGGAAGTGGAAAACCACCGGTTTGTAGAATAACCGGCCATGCCATCCACGGAACGTGTAATTCAGTGGTCATCCCCAGCTTTTCTGGAGAGCCTCGTTCGGCCACAAAAGGCGACCCCACACGGCGCATGAAGGGGTGTCCACATCTCTTGGTTTTTTCATGTCTTTTACTCTTCTTTAACCGAAATGTGGTCGCCAAATCCAGCAGTTGCTCGATTCGCCCCAGGTTCGTTGCACTTGGGGTGCTCTTTCTCCATGCTGCGGGTGTAGCTGTGGAGTTCGGGATGAATCCAAGATCTGGCTGGTCCAAGAACTTGGAGGAACAGCAGCACTCGGTGCATGGACGAGGGAAGACCTGCGTCTCTTACATTTGCGGCTCTTCCTGAACTACTTGACGCAGGCTGCTCCCAGCTGCCCGGTCGTGTCAAACCGTGTCCGATTGGCTCTCCCCTTGACTCCTTTCGACGGTAGACTGTGACATCGTCCGGGTGAAGGTGCCCAGCGCTCCAAGTGAACTGAGAGCCGCACCATTTTTGAGTGGCAAAGTTGGAAGTAGCTTGAAGTTCGTCTAGGGCAGGCGTTGCCGGAAATAAAGCCTCAACTCCTGGCTTCCTGCTTTCAAGGCAAATTGATGCAAAGGTCGGGAGGAGCTCTCAGAGATTGGATGTCTTTATCTGCTTGACCCCTAGCCCTAGCACGTGGGTGTTTTTAAATGAACTTTGGTCTTGCTCAATGATCCAAAGTGATCTTTGGAGTACTGAGTCTCTGTGTCAGTCTTCAGTCTTGAGATTCTTCTATGTCTTGAGAAGTACTGAGATGGATCAGCTTTCATTGTCACATCAATCCATACTCCTACAGTCGCTCGTGCAATCCAAGCTCCTACGGTCGCTCGCGCTCGAGCCGATTCCAGCTAAAGGGAACGACATGATCTCCACCAGCTGGGACCCCTTCGATGTGGCCCAGCTGGGATTAGAGAAGCACGGGGGTGGGAGAAGCCTGGATGTTCCATGTCTACTCAGCTTCAGGCGCTCAGATCTATTTTTTTTTCGGAGAATTCCGTGGCATGAACTTCTGACAAACATACACATGGTCTCTCACCATGCACATCTCTCCCGTGGAAGAGTGGTGTCAAAAGCCTCCTGCATCAAGTCGCCTTTTTGGCTTAGACCATGTGACGAGGTGACAAGTTTCTCTGGACTCTGGACCTCGTGCAGCATCTAAATACTTTACGGCCGATCTGTGAAGCCTGTTTGATGTTTTTGGCATCATTATGCCATTATACCTGCATGGTGCTCAAACAACCATTGGGCTTGGAATTCAATGGGGAACCCCCCAGCAATGGGTTGTGGTCTATTCTCCTTCTTCCAGAGAGTCAATCGAGGGTCTCCCTCTATATTCATCCCTGTTCTAATACACACCCAGTTGGACTGTGTCTTCCTGTCACAATCCCAAGAAGCTCCGAAAGGTCTTTTGGACCACTGGGATGCGCCGAAGAATTCCTGACGCAATGAAAAGCAAAGAGCCTGGCAATCTGCTCAGCCGAAATTCAATCAAGATCTTGGACGGTGGAAGCACCATCTTGACCAGGGTCTTTGCTGTTCCCGTTTTACTAGAAAGAATCTCTACGACCTGCAAAGGAACCACTCGCAAGTCCTGATCGAGCGCCAACTTGCGGTTCGAGGAATGCTTCGACGCGGTCGTTTCTCCATATAATGTTAATGCTCCGTGAAAGCTGCCAGCATGACACCTCTATGGTCGTCCAACCTTCCCAAGAATTCCATGCATCTCCTCACCAAAATCACAGACACCACGTCGATTGACCATGAGAAATGTAAGAATGATGGGTGATCCGCAGCTCATGCACTCCCTTTTCATGGTCTTGTCCATCTCACACCCATCAACAATCATCCAAAACTTTGCTAAGAGGTCCAGGACAGGCTGGACAGGGTCCATCATGGATCCACTGTCATGGATCCACGTTCCCCTCCAGCGGCTCCTGGTGCCGATGATATGGGCACCGATAAGTCGGTGCATAGTCTGTCAAAGCGATGTATCAAAACGAAAAGACTACTAGTAACAAGTAAGCTATTAGCTTCTTGTTTCTACTAGCTTCTTGTTACTACTAGTAAGGCACTTGTTACTACTAGCGATGCACTTGTTACTACTACAAAGGTCGCAGACGGGGTTGAGGATTATCTGGATACCAACCGATTGACATACCCAGGCGTGACCAGTCGTTCGCGGCAAATGGTGGACTGGTCGGGCTCCAGGTTTTGACCCACAGCCATAGTTTTATATAAATCTTAATACATGGGTGCGGATTCAAGAACCCAGCGATTGTGCTTTGGGAATTCTTGTTTGGGAAAGAACATGATCTGTTCTCTCAAACCGCTGGTGGTCTTTCTGGTCTCTGCGCAACACACAATTTGGAATTTGGAGCAGCTTTGGATCGAAAAACCACGAAGGTGTTCATCCAACTCTCAAAACGTCCAGGATACAACACTGGTGAATGAAAGTGGGTCTCCATCCATCATTCCTACTGTCTTTGGCCTCCATCACGTCGGCAGCCCAAAATCTTAGCTTCGCTCCTTCTCTGGCTGCCCAATGCCGGACTCAGCTGGCCAATGCCGGACTCGAATAGATGGAAAGCCCATGATTCCGGGTCTTGTCTGGTCTAAATCCTGGGAGATTTGTAGCTTTGCTCAAGAAAAGAAGCGGAGAACAAAAAAAGTGAACATGTTTGGAGGAGCTACAGTAGCTGTTGGCTTTGGTGGCTCTAGCGGAGATCGCAGAGATACGCAGAGCGCTCCTTAATTTATAGCGCATACAGACATCAACTGGACAAAGTTGCAACAGGGTATAAAATTGTTATATTCCCACTGCAGCCATTGGAATATCAGAGTTCATTTTCTTGGCAGAATCTGCCCATGTCCAATTTTCTACACCAGGATTCTGATTGGCATTGATCCTCCCCCCCCGTCTACTCAGTTTGAGACTGTACGCTTGCCTGCCCCAGCACAGCTTCTAAAGATATACCTGCCTCCTGCCGCTTCACAGATTGAAAACAACACAAATCACCCAGGCATACCGGAAGCTTGCTGGCTCAGATCCTGACATCTGCCGTCTTGGCCTTGGAAGCTGCACATTCAATTGGATGCTCCGGGAAGAATTGGTCACAAGGATGTTGTGGGTCCAAATCTCCCGCGCTTTTGCACCAAGGTAATGGCCAAATGTCTACCTTTCACGTAAATTAGTGTATGCTGTTCACCTCAATATCAAGCTCAATATGAACACGTTGTCACTTGGGCTTTTGATTGAAACTCTTCATAGGAATGAAGCTCTACACTCCAAGTGCAATGCAAGCCTCTTCCTTTTTGCGACAAAAAGAGCACTACCGGCTACCGGTTTCCGGTCTGCGTCTTGGCTGCATCAAGCTTTGCAGACCACCTTATTTTCATAATGGTAGATGTCCCTCCAATAGTTGTCGTAGACGCGGAAAGGCCACTTCCCCTGTTTGCCGCTGCAGCAGTATTTTGCATAGACGTGATCACCCTTGGGTGGTCCCAAGGCCAAAGCAAGTGAGTCTTGCTCCACTTCTGTTACTGATGGAATGCAACAGCGCTTTTCCTTTCCACATATCACTCCAACCCCATAGGTGTCGAAGCCGGCACACTCGGTCTTCTCAATGCTTTCGCGTCCCAGCCACTTTCGCCGACAACGTCCTTGGATGGCTGGCTTACAACGGGGTCCCCGGCCGGGAATGTTGGCACAAACCAAGCCTTCAGCGCAGCAATCGCTGGGCTGTTCATCCCAAGGAAGTTCGGCACATTGGCATGGTGCTCCTTTTGCGGGCGGTGACTTTTGTTGGAGAAGATGTTTGGGGATACGCTGGCAGCGAGCACCCCGGCCTGGCGTCTTGGCACACATCAGGCCTTTGGCGCAACAATCCTCCGGCTGTTCATCCCAAGAAAGGAGTTCACATTGGCACGGTTCTCCTTGTGAGGGTGCTGAAGAATTGTGCTGCTCCACCGTCCGCATGGATGAAGCCGGCACATTGTAAAGAAGAGCGAGTGCAAGACGTAGCATGGTGTAGTTCTGGAGTCAAGCAACGGCGAGTTCCTTAGTCTCTGAGACACTCTCAGCGGGTTTTCCTTCGGCTCCTTACTCAAGCCTTGGGCCAAATGCCTGTGTTCCTTGTGCAGGTTCAATGCACCAAAAAGACTGGTCTCAAGTTCTCGTAAGGCCTCAGTCACCCGAACACCACAACTTGCTTGAGAAGAACGTGCTTAGATCGTTTTTAATGTTGATCTGCGTCAAACATTGACACAATGTCTTCAAGCTACCAATGATCAGTTTCGGGTCTCCCGACGAGCAGACTGAATCATGGCACCCATGCAATCTGGGCATGACTCGCCAGGAATGTCCACCGGTGAATGCATGACTCGCCAGGGCGAGGTGCTTCTGGAATTGACGGCTTGCTACAAGTGCCTAGCTTCCAAAACCAACCAGCCCTTCTTTCTTACGAGCCGAAAAACTCCGAAAGAACACAAAGATCACAGATCAATGAAGGGGGATCAGACAGTCTCGGTGCAACTGATCAGTCTCAGTGTCTCAGTGTGAATTGTTTTCAGCTACTTCAGAAAACATATACTATAGTCGTATTGGCCAAGTATTGATGGGTGGATTGTACACAAACGAGGATTAGGTACACCGTATACCCCGTTCCCTGTAACTGTGTCTTTTCTCGACGCTTACAGGTAATTCATGGTGACGCACCCTAGTTGTTGCAATCAAACAGCATGAAACTTGCCTGACTGATGTGTCTTCGCAGCTAAAGGCAGAAAGCATCCAAGTTCGATGAAGCAACGGCGAAATGATTTGATCCAGCCCCTTCGCATCCTCTCACTGATTTTGTTGTCTTCTTTTCAGCTTGGACTATGGTGCGCAGCTGCACTCTGGCATGCCGGAACTTTTGGTCGTGCCTCCATGGCCAGCTCGTGACTTGGTTGCACGCAGGAGGACTCTGCGGACTTGATATCTCGTGAGCCTTATACCTTGGCATGGCTACTAACTCGCGCACGAAGAAAATCACCCAATCTGCTTGGCAGAGAAACGATGCGTCAAAGAAGACTGATGACTTTTGGAACACTGGGAGCACCATCTGAAGCAAAGCCTTTGGCCCAACAAAAGGACGCTCTGAGCCAGTCCGGTCTCTCCCAACATGCCTCCTTTGCCCCGAAATCCCGCCCTGGCCCATACGTCAGATACAAAACAGGGCACCGAAAAGAAGGAAACGGACCTGCACCACCGGCCTTCACCAGATGGTCAAAAGGATTTTCGCTCTCCCAGCGCCGTTCGTGCAGTTCGTGCACATCAAGACACATCGAGCCACGGACCGTCCATCCGTGAGGAAAGTACCAACCAGGTCGGTATTTTTGCTTAACCTCAACGTCGGGAAAGAAGTAAGACACAGCTCTGCAGCATTACGCGACGCGGATCACAGACCGAACCAATATCACATTCATGAAAACATTCGGTCAATGTCCGGCGGGAGTTACTGCCAGTTGGACGTTGACCTGTTTTGACCCTCGCATCCCATGTCAGTCTGAGTATGTCACCAGTCACCGTATTCCAAATATATTGTCCTTTTCGACGACAGGACGAAGCAGTGAGCTGTGGTGGTGACACCGTATCACTTAATTAAGTCACAACACGCGAGTGATACGGAAATTGTCCGACGTTCCTGGTGTGCTTGGCTTGTCTGAGCAACACTGCAACTAGAACAAGTTCCTGGAGACAGCCTATTATTTGTCATAGCTCTATGCATACATCAACAGGCGCCGAACAAGCGTCCGCCGAACAAGCGTCCGCTGAACAAGCGGACGAGCTGGTGCAACTCATGCACATGAACAAGCGCTGTCCAGACGCTTGCAACTGCAAGATGCGGATGTGGAGTTGGACACTATGTCACTATGTCAGAATCGATTCATGTGGCCGGCAGCAAACAGTAGTACAAGTGTTTGGGTCCACAGCCCGTACGCTAGCTGTCCAAAGGAAAAGCCACAAACAACAAAACGTACAAAAAGTGCAGCGTGTCGCGCGGGGCTTTCTCTGCCCAAAGAGCAGTTGAAGGAGCAAAAACCTCGAGTATATAGTTCCAAAAGGAATCCAAAAACGTGAAAAACCTCACACGTTTCCTTTCAAACCTGCTTGTCCCAGGGCGCATCATCGAGGTGACGGTTCCAGGGCAAAGGATGGTGCATGAAAATGGCGGGCGCATCATGGTGGCGTCGCATCATCCTTGGCGAAGGGCATGGCCATAGGACATGTTTGTGAAAAATCGGGAAAATCTTGGAAGAACAAGGAAAGAAAAGGATCATTATATAGCTCAGCACCCCGATGCACCCCGATACACCCCGCATAGCTTCACAGAAAAATCAGCAAACATGTTCTTCGTTTCTTTTGAGCAACCTGCTGAGATTCGCATCCTCTGAGGCCAGCGCTTGCAAAGCACGTCTTCAGAAGTTCCGCATAAGCCGTGACGTCCAAGTCCTACAATTGACACCAAAAGAATCTGTCATTCTGCGCAGCAATCGAAGCGAAGCATGGCAACCCAAGCCTTGGCTTCCATGACAGAAATAGGGCAAGAAGATCCATGAACCTGAGCAAAGGGAAAAGCCCTTCTTTCCGAATACTGGGAAACTGGAAAAGAGCACAGCCAGATATGAATCACAAAAAAACATGTGCAAGACGAACTGGTACTGCCGCAAGCTTGTTGCCTTGAAAATGGTCACCTAGAACATGACAACAAGTGTGACAGTGAGCTCTGGGCTTCCACGGGCGCCACTGTGAAGATCTCTGGGGCAAGGAAATACGCTGCGGTCACCGGATCCTGGACCTGAAGAGGGCATCGACACCACTGACTCTGAGACCAGCTGAGCGACCAGCTGAGCTGTCTAAGCTGTTAAAACGGTTGAGCCCACACGTGGTTGTTCAACCACTTTTCTGGGGTCCGAACCAAACTCAAGGGATGCTGCTCCAAAATCTTCAACAGCATGGGGTGGTTCAAGGATTTCTCCAAGCGCCCCTCCAACTCTTTGGCATCCGGCCGGCAACAGGTGCCCACCATCTGAATCGGAACCTCGACATGCTTCAACAAACAAACCAAGTTTAGGGCGCAAAGCGTTTCAAGCACGTGGTCTTTTCTCGCTTTTGTCATATCCAATGGCGCCGTACCGGACCCTGAGCGTCCCACACCGGAGTTCAGGACCACATCTAGAGCCACTGGGTCCAAGCGAAAGTTAAAAGGGTTGGCCTTTGTGTTGTCCCCAGCCACGATGATCTTCCCGACAACTTCCCGGAACTTGGAAAGATTAGCTTTAGCTGCTGCAGCCACATTAGTCAAAGGTCCCAAGGCCAAGAGTGTCACACCCTTGATGTCAAGTTCCAACAATGCAGTCGAAGCTGTTTGGCAATCTGAAGGCTTCGAAAGCTCCTTGGAAAGCTCCTCTGGAAGCTCAGGAAGCTCAAGAACTTCACTCACTTTCTCCAGCTTGGCCCGGTGCTTTTCGACCCAACCAGGGAGCTCCGCATGCTCACTCGAGCTCGGACAGGTGGCACCTCGCACCACAAGAGCTGACACACCCAGTCCAAGCAGCAAGCGTTGGGCCAACGGTGCTGCGACAGGAGCTGCACAAACCCCGTGCACCGTGGTGACCAAGCGTAGCCGTGGTGACCGTGGTGACGTCGTCAGCATCACAAGAGCAGCCATGTCATCGAGCCCCACATCTGTGTCCACAATCAAATCCACATCCTGGATAATGCAACATCAGCATGAAGTAAGCAAAATATACGCCGTGTAGGTCATATAATATGGTTATATATATACACACACACAAAATGAGCTTTTCCGTGAAATTCACTTTTGGGGAAGGCTCCACTGTGTGCCTTTTTTGTGAGAGCGCTTCTCCTCGAAACACATCACTCAATCACTCGGTCTCAGGTCCTGGACGGACTGACCGAGCTGCTCTTCACGCTCCATCGCTAGAGGTCGCAGCTCGGCTGACGGTCTTCGTGGCTCAGTTTGGTTCGGCTAGATGCTCGGGTTGGAATCATGCGGGTTGGCTTCGGTATCGCTTTTTGAACATCACTTTTTGCACTGGTTCTGATGACATAAATCCGTTAGTGCAGAAAGTGTGATGATATCTGGAAGTGCAAAAAGGTGGCGTGGCACTGGGCAATTCTGACGCACAATTGACGTGGCAAATGTAGCTTACGGCGCAACATGTTTGCAACCTTGCAGTGGCAGCAACCTGGTAGCACTGTTGTTTAGGTGCTTGAGAGGTTTTGCAAAACAGCTATTAAAGTCCTTTCAGAACCTACCTGAGGACCCACACTTGGGCCTGCCTGCCAAAAGGTACACTCCACAGCTTAACAAAGCATTGTCGCCCAGTCGTCATGCGCGGTCTTCCTTTTGCAACTCACATTCGTGCCTTCGCCCGTTTTGGCTGGCAACCTTTGTAAAGATGACATGGTGTTGTGGTCAGAATTGACACAGAAACACATCGATCGATATATTCCACTTCGACGATGTGAAGAACCCATTCCCTAGAAGTCCAAAGACTATACTGTACTTTTCCTGATTGAAGTAAGGGAAATGCTCTTTCAAATCCCCAAAAGACTATTCCTTTTATCGTCTTCATCTTTCAAGGCATGGACTCGAGTCTTGCCATACATGAGGCAACAGCAGTTCCCGCTTGTCTTTTTGGAACTGCTGTCTTTGTGCACGCTCTCATCACCTCCCCCCTTCGGGGGGAGGCGGGTGTCTTCTTAGCAACGCCTCCAAACTTCCTCAAAGCCACTGCTTGCGCTCTGCAGGGCATTTGTCATTTTTCATTTTCGTATGCTTGACCAACGATCCCACAGAGCCATGCCCCACACGATCTGCGATGGGCGCTGTGACATCAGTGCTTGGTCAACTGTACACCTTGCAGCTTCCTGGAGACTCCGAATTAGGTGAGTCCCTCAATGTCGTGCTGTCATTTGTCAAACTCAACCTTCTCGTCCTGACACAGACCCAATGTCAGACAAGCACTCAAGCAACGGCAAAGAGCAGGACGGAATTTTGCACCGCAGACCGGAGGATCTTTCTTGACAGATTAGGCCAACAAGCTGTAAATTGCTCACTCAGGTGAATATTTGCCAATACGGGAATTCATACCCTGCACATGCATACGTTCTCGCAATGCCACAGCTTGGACACAATCAGACTGCCATCCTGCCTTCGTGAAATCAGAGCAGAAGTCTTTGCAGGTTGTAAATCCTTGGCGAGCCTCACCCTCCCGAGCGGCATTCGCTATATCGGGTATAGAGCCTTTGGCAACTGTACTGAGCTCTCGTACCTAGGATATGCTATGAATAAGTCAGAGGCATGGCGATATCCCTATGCCGCAAACAATGCCTTTGATGCGTGCGCTAAACTAGCCACCCCTAAGTGGCTCCACTACATTCCACCTAAGGACGGCGATTGGGTTGCCCCCTGCAAGTGACCTGTTGCTATCCATCATTGCTCACATGTTTACTAGGGGTTGTCAAGCAACAACTACTGGAGTAATGCATGGCTAGAGTAGCAAGGACGGCTACCCAAGTAGCTGCCCCTCTGCATTGACAGGCTCAAAACCCCCAGTAGTGAGGGCAGGTACCGCACACAGTGCCGCAATGCATTGTGACACGGTGTCGCAAACGAGCTCACTGGTCAGCAATGAACGCCAGTTGGTGTTGCAACTATTGTTGACGACCCTCTCTGGAGAAGAACACCAGGTGATCATTGATCTCCAAGAGTTTGATCGACTCGACGAGTTCGAAACTGCTGTCCTTGAGCAGCTCCCGACCATTGGAGGAAGCAGCACCTTTGGGTGCTAGTTCACTTTCTTTCGTTCAACGAGATACAGGTCAAATCCTGCGGAACCCTATCTGGGACACCCTCAGGGACTGCAACCACTTTCACCTAGTCGTCCGCCAATGCCGCAGTCGGGCAGAACACAAAGGGCAGGTAAAGAGGAATGCTAAAGCAATCCAAGTGCCGCCCACCCGTTCAGGGCAAGTGCTTCCCCATGCCTTTACACACACGAACGAAGTGAGACATGTACAAGTTCTGGCAACACTGTATAAAAGGCTGCTGATAGTGCACCTGCCCAGCTCATTAGTATGCCTGAAAGACGGCGCCTTTCGTCGATGTTATGTACTCCATACAGTCACTGCCCCTGAGTGCAGACATTTTGGGAGCTGGGTGTTTGAGGAGTGCCATGCGCTAGCTCACGTAGGAGACCAACACAAAGCAGGCAATCAGCTTACGCCGCAAGCGCGCTTCCACACCCGATCCTTTGAAAAATCGCGCTGCAGACACTCAGTTTTGAAAGGACTGAATATGATCCGCGAGACCCAAACCGGGTCATACCAGAGGGTTGCTTCTCGGAGACAGGACTAGAGGCCCTAACTCTACCAGGACTTCAGCTGGATGGGACCGTCTGCATGCGAACACTGTGACAGGCTGCAGACAGTGGACATTTCACAGACTGACATCAGTGAAATCTTAGGGGGCACCTTCGCACGCTGCTCCCAGCTGCAACACCTCAAATTAGCAAAGACAGTGAGACGCATTTGGCGAGACGCCTTCTTACGGTGCACTTCCTTGGTAGAAATACATACCCCACCTGCCTTGCTATACATTAGTAAGCGAGCCTTTGCAGGCTGCACACAACTCTGCAAGCTCGTTAGGATGGGCAAGAAAGGAACTTGGAGAGGCACCTATGCAGAACATAATGCGTTCGAGATGTGCGCAAAACTGGCACTCCCGGCATGGATTCGGCTTCTCCCCAAGCCCAATGACGGCAAAGAAGAGTGGGCGGACTTCATGAGAAGTTGTGCAGAAGCCAATCTCAGTGCTGCCGCACGTCCATGACGATGTACGCATACGTGTCGGGGGAAAGAGATTCCCAGAGTAGTTTGGCCAATCGGCTCAGTGCTTGCTAGCAGATCAGTAGGGAGCCTTATGTCTGCCATCTCAACTGCCAAGGCGTGGTACAGTGTACAGTTCTCTAGGCCTAGGAATAGCGGTGTTTCACTGTTTCACGTAGTTTATGGGGCTTGCATGCTTACCTGATACCCGGTGCACTCGTGTAACCAAGGGAAGACGCCGATGTACTTATGCAATTTACCCATCAAATCTCTCCGACTAGTGCAGCGTACTCTCTCTACAGGCCTAAAGGCAGTTTATTGGCACAACACACAGCAAACCAACAGCTTGTCGATTACGCATGTCTCTTCCCTTCACTTCCTCATCCATTTTATCCATCCGCGCCAGCCATATCGACAGATTAGAGTTGAGGATCTCCTCACACTATTCGGTTTTGACAGCAATGTTAACTTGTCAGACGCTTTGCACGTAATACGTGCAAACATTGGCAAATTCAAAGAGTGTGTGGTTCCAGACCCCTCCATGACTGTCGGTGGCTCCCCCTTAATTCTCCTCAATGAAGTGCAGTCTTTACGTCACGTCCCGCCGAGGTTTTGGCAGCTTTGCCACGGCATTTTGCATTTCCGTATGCTACGACCCAGCAATCTACCAGTCTCTATTAAAGGAATTCATCTTGGAACCTCAATAGTTGGTCTCCTGGGCTACCCACCAACATACATAAAACGTGGGTAGTCAGAACCATGTTGAAGCAAGCCCCTGTGCTGCTACAAGAGACAAAATGGAACCAGGCTAATCTCCAGTACTTATCACACACATGGCCTGATATCAAAGTAGTTACCACTCTTGCCAAACAGAACCCAAAAGAACAAGCCGGTGTTGCGATTCTCTTCCCCCCAGGCTGGAAAGTTCAAGAAGAGAAAGCGCTGGTCAAGCATTATGCCGTTGCTGCCATATCAAGCCTGCACTATCTGGCTTGTCTCGATCTACATACCCCCCAACAGTCCCAAGTCTTTTGTTGCGTCTACACTACAAACCATCCTTGCGTTGACCAGTCATCCTGTCTTTGTAAGAGGGGACTTTAATCGATGTGATCAGCATCACTTCCAAACGTGGGATGATTTTCTGGTACAAGCTGGACTCACAGATGTCGACCCACTGCTCCCCACCTACAAATTCCAAGACCAAGAATCTGCGCTTGACCGCTTCTTAGTACCCAGTCCCTTTCTGGACACTACGCAGCTCTTTGCGCGTATCTATGGCAGATATCGAATAGATGCCTGCCACCATAAGGCACTGATGCTTCGACTTAAAATGAAACCTCGTCTTCAACCTCATCCACAGTCAGAAAAGCATCATACTATACCGACCCAAGTCTTCTTAGATCCAACAGCCACGTCAGAAGGGCTGCAGGAAGTTGCTAGGCAAGCTGCGCTTCTTGCCCTCAAGCGAAAAATTTCTCTTGCGCAAGAAACTAAAGGCGCCAGCGCTGTGCTCTCGCAACATTGCCGCGCGATAGTTTGGAGCTGGTGGAGAACTTACTCCTGCCACTTCAAAAAAATGTCGCCATTAAAACGGCTGTACAAGCTGTTAGGCAAAGAACAAACCTATTTACACATCCAGCAAGAAGAAGTGCGCTTGTTCTATGAACAAAGCGCTGCCATCGATCTTCTCCAACCTTGGCAAACCCAGCAAGGATGTCTTTTAATACCATCCACGATCATAGCTGCAGCACTTCAGGCAGCAGAAGTCGCTGCAGCTGCTAATATGCAATTACCGATAGGTACAGACAGCACAGATCCAATCCAGCGAACAAGAAGACAAAAGGCCTTCTGGGACAGGCTCAAAACAGTGTGTCCTAGAGGCACCTTCTACCACGGCCCTTTGTTGCAACATAATGGGCAGGAATGCCGTACTGCCCTTGAATATGATGAAGCCACGCTAGCTACCCGAAATTTCTGGTTTACACACCCCGTTCGGTATGATCGTGACTGGCATGACACGCTTTCGGCTTACCGACGGTGTGTCTCTCCTTGGCCACAAATTCCAGAACCTACGGAGCAAAACTACATTGAGCGTCTCTTACTTACTAAAGATTCGGCGCCAGGACCTGACGGGTTGC